ATATCAAGTAAATCTTAATCATCGATCGGAGATGCTTATAATATGCATACTAGAGACATTTTCTTGATGTGTATAGAATTCACTGGGATGGGGGCGAAGGACAGTTTAGTTTCCAAACCATTCTTCAGGAACCTCTGGATCACTTTTCTGCCATAAAAAATATAGAATTTAAAATATAATTTATCGTGAATATTGTTCTTTATGAGGTGGAGGAGGAAACTCATAAGCAAAATGAAACGCAGTATTAACTGAATATGGACAAAATGATGATAATAAAAATTTTGCCAATGTAACCTTTCTTTCTTCCATAGTCTACCGAGGCTTCCTCACCCTAATTCATCCATAATATTCAGAAAAAAATATGTTATAGAGACTAGAGATTTTAGACTTTAGTCAATAAAACGAGGATAAATCGCTCATAAATAACAAGATGCATGCTTGAAGAGTTTTCGTAAAGTGTGGATTATAACTTTTCGCAATGGCGAAATAGGTGCAAATACAACCGTCATCAAATAGATAAAATTATTTTCCGTCCGATGTAGAAAAATAATCAACAATATGTCATTTATATTGAATTGAGTTGAATATCAGAATCTTTATATCGTATGCAGTGCTAAAAACATCCAGCGTAATTGTTTGATTTTCCTTATCTGGATTTTCCACCAGCTTTGTAACAAAAGTGTGCAATTTCCATATCGTGGAAACAATAGATATACAGAATGTGTGACTATCAGATTAATTAACAATCATGTGCCACAAATTATAACATCGAATAAGACACCGCATTGTAATTAAAGGAAAATTCGAAAGAATCGAAGGAAGTCTATTGTAAAAAAATCTTATCTCTAAGAGCTGTCAACACCTATGTGAAACGGATATTACACACCTCATGTTACATATCGCTCCGATGTATGTGAATAATTGGTTAGTTCAAATCTAGTTTTTTGATCCATTGAGATCATTTAGAGGCAGGTTATTATTTAGCAAAGCGATTTCTTAGGAGAATTACCCTTTTTGTAAAATCCAAAAAACCTTTGACCAGAAAAGGCTGTTATTGTAGTAAAGCAGCTAACGCTCAGCTGTACATCAATATTACAACATGAGAATGATATGTAAATTTCTCATTTTTTGATAAAAATGCTTGCTCTACTATAAGAGATCAAGGTACTTGTTCGAGTATTTGTTACAAACAGATTCTTTGGAAGACTAACTTGGAAGAAGTTTTGATCCAAGTGCTCATCTGTATTTTCTTATTCTTGAAGTATGCTAAATAAATACTTGTTTTTATTTAAATCTGTTATCAGGACTGTCTATTGTATAAGATTGTACTGTAGGGGATTTTACATCCTCAATTATCCGCTTTCCATCTTTCTGCTTTTTTCTGGCTCTTTCAAAAAAGAGGTAGGCAAATTTTTTAGTAGGTTCAACGTTTTACCTGACCGGTAAATTTCGAAACCGAAACTTCAGTCGAAGATCTTCAGAAATTGTTTCGGATCCATCTTTTTCTCGACATTTAGTGACGATACTTTACTACGTGGAAATTGAAAATCACGGGGGCATTATATCGAGGGCATATGCGCCAAAAGTAAAATTTTACAGGAGAAATGAAAAACGGTTGAAAAACGAATTGTTTGAAAAAATTAAAAAATAAAGGCGGTAAAAACTAACAAAAAAATTACAGTTTATGATAATTTTTTCAAAATTAAAAATATTTACTATTTTAACAAAAATTTGGCTATTACGTCTATATGCCAGGATGAAACTATTGGCTATTTTGAGGCGTATGAAACACTTATGTGAAATAACAATAAATAATTAGCCAAATAAGGAACGAATCAAGTTCATTATTACCATCAGAACAGTTTTAGCAAAAAAATATAATGCTTTAGGATGTACAGGGTATCCCAAATAAGACGTCCTACGTTTTCTCAAAAAGTATTAAAACAAAGCTACAACAAAACTTTAACTAAAATGAGATAAACATGTTGTTAGTTCCCGAATATACATGTTCCCTAGGTATTAATTCCTTTTTCTCTTTAACATATTTGCTCTTAAAGCAGATAGTGGTAGCTCATCTTCAGATTAATTAGAATGAACATGAGGTAACAAATCGTATAAGTTGTGGTACACTGAAGTTACAAAGAAGCTGCAGGTCCAAATATGTTTTCTTCAATTTTGAATTTGGAGTCATACAGTGGCTTGAGCTGAAAATCTAAATTCCTTCTACGCCGTTCCATAATGTTCACTGCTTCAAATCGCTCTTCTCAAGACTAATTTTTGGAGAAAAGTGTAGCCGGATTTGACTTTTAAAAACGCAACCAACGTATCTACTTCTCTCCAGTTTAGAACCTTCCCATTCTCTGATTTATTTTGAAAAAAATAGTTACTATCCTTAAGGGTTTTATAGTCAAACAAATTTTGAATTAGAAAGACTATTAACGTCGTAGGGCTGTCCGCCTTTCTTAGCTAATCTAATAACATTTACCCAATCATTAGATACGAATATCTTGGCATGCTCGGAAGCAGTTTCAATTGTAGGGAGCATGGTGTCACACTCCATATGTGTGTGACCAGGCTCTGAGAATTTGAACTCAATAACCTCTATATTGGTCTTTAAAATCACTTGATGTTACATGCTTGCAACAACAGAATTTCTATTCTGTCTAGAGCAGCAATCTGAAAACATCGATAAATGTGTAACAGTACCAGGAAGGGTTTCAACAAATTTCCTTTGCAACCGATAATTACTGGATATTTTACATGTTCACCTAAACATGATTCATACGCCTTTATATCATAATATCGTGATTGGCATCCTTTGGCATAATATATTACAAACTGTTATTCTACAAAATTAATTAACTAATTTACTATTGGCAGCTGATATTTAATTAAAATTTTACGTATTTACCTAAAAAAGGTTCATACGCCTCTATGGAGTACTGCCACTTGTAGGATTGGCCTATATGCCTATACAGTTTTGCGTTTTTTGACCAAAATATACTACAAATCTGCAAGCCATTTGGTCAGATTATGCGCCATACTATTAGGTATTGATTCATGAAAAACAATGGTTTTGGTCAAAAGTGGCGTATACTCCCATATGGCGTGAGGCTCTCGATATCGTGTACCCTCTTTTATACGTCTTATGACTATGAACAGCTTCATAAATTCGCAGTAGAGTATAGACACAACGCATCCGTAATTTGAGCGCTAGGTTTACAGAAGTACCAAAATCTGGGAATGCCTTGTGATATAATTCTAAAGATAACGGAATGAGCGTGAAAACCAGACTGACCCAATAAGGAGAAAAGAAGTAGGTGTTGGGGGTGGTAACCCTATGCCGAGGCTAAATACTGAAGGTAGAAAGGAATGGAGCATGTGACCGGCCTTCAGTACAGGTTTGATCTCGCTCGAGTCATCTGGTTGTGTTCAATGTCAATAAACGAGATGTCGGCCAGTAAAACATTGCTGCGGCTCAGCCTCCTTATTCACCTGTCTTGAGTCCTTGTGACTTTCCTCTTGCCGAAATTGAAAAATATCTTCAAGGGAACATATTTTGGGACAGTAGAAAATGTTCAGACGTCTGTAACCGTCCAGCTGAAGGCTATTCCGGTATTGGAGTTCCAGCACTGCTAAGAGGTGTGGAAGAACCCTCTCCAGCACTATGTGGCTTCAAAAGGAAGTTATCTTGCGGGTGACAATATAAAATTGTAACTATATTCGAATAAAAAAAATTAAAAAAGTTAGGCTCATAGCCTTCATTTGCAGACCTCTCATGCTACGTAGCTGCGATTAAGACACTACATCGAAATCGGTGTGGAATTGTAAAGAGCATCTTGGTACCGTACGGGATGGAAATAAGATTTTTCTCACATGGATACCAGGATATACAGGTCTGAATGGAAAGAAAAAAGGTGACATTCTGGCAGAGATTAGGGCTAGTATACCTTTCACATGGCCTGAGTCACGATCGGAAAATTGGGATCCCATACAATGCGGCTGAAGAAATAATCTATGCAGAGATTGATGGAACACTGGGAGGGTTTTTAAGCATGCTAAGGCAAGTATGCTGATTTTAACAAAGAATGTCGCAGAATCACTGTTGCGGCTGAATAGGAACAGCGTTGAGCTTTAGTGGGTCTATACACCGGCCATTCCAGATTACGTCACCAGGTTGGATAGAGCTGAAGACGCTGAATCCAGACTGTGTAAGGAGGGAGTTTTTCTGCAGATGCCCTGCAATTGCCAGTGTCAGGTGCGACACAGTTGGAGGTGTTGCTCCAAGTAGAAGTCAAGAAACGCATTTCTTCAAATAATCTGATCATTGTCCTTAGGTGGTCGGAACCTTGGAGATATGAATATGATTGAGCCATAATATGCCAATGAGTCGCTCTGGAAGAACACGACAGACTCGCTCACAAAAAATTTCACCTAACCTACTACCAATCAAATTTAAACATTTCTGTTGGTACTTGGCCTGTTTTTTAGCAAAGTTGGCTTCAGCTTAGTAAAAGCTTTTCATATCCAAAATATATTTAAGTTTTCTGACTTTGCACTTTGAAGAAAGCTACTGGAGCAACTGGAAGGCCAGTGAAGTTACTTCTCCAACTTCTTTACTGTAATTTATTGACCAGAAAAATAATTTTGAGCTGAATATACTGCCAACCTATACTGTTGTAAACATAAACTCTACGTGGGCTGACTAAGTAGTGTTAAGAGCTAGATGGTTCTTATTACGCCAACTCATAACAAAGTACTGTTCAATGCTATAACTCCATATTAACAATCCAAATTTTAATTAGCAACGCTTGACCAATTATATTTCGGGATCCAGTCCTCAATATTACATAATTGTGTAGTAGTGGCTTTCCATACTTTTTATCACGAGGTTCAAAGCAAAGGAAAAATGCGCCCGTCCGGTCCTGACTGCCGTTCACCTTGATGATCTAGTGGCGCACCGTCCTATTCGCTTCATTGTGGTTTTCGTGCTTGTGCGACAAGGTTCATTGCGTTCGCTGCCTCAGCTAATAAACAGAGACGAAAAACCGAGTGATATCGCCTGACTTGATACCCCAGGTAATTCTTTTTGAATTATTCTCAAATATTTTCGCCTTTAACATAGGAGATTCAGGGCCTATTTAACGGGACTCCTTAGAAGCATCATACAATTTACTTTTATTTCAGCCCGTTTTTTCAGGGATTATTATGGGTAAATCCAAGAGTCATAAGAAGAAAAATCGCTCACCGAGCAACGCCAAGGGTAATAATGATTGCGACACGTATACCTACTTATTAGAAAGAATGGAGAAACTAGAGACCTTAATTAATCGTCGCAATTCAAGATCTCTGTCCACTTCTTATTCAACCCATAGTCGTTTGTCACGACAAAGGCGTCGCTCAGAACACACACGCAGTCCAAGCGTGTCGTACCGTCGTCGCATGCCGCGTCGATCGACTTCGAAATCGAGAAGTCGTTCCCGCTCTGGCGCTTCTCACTCTTCCTCCCATCGTAATCGGAGAGAGAGAGAATCTCGATCGCCGATGACACCGATCCATGCTCGAACCTTGCCGGTTCAAGATGAGGAGCAGCTATCTAAATCTCTCCAGCTGGTGAATGCAACGTTGCCACGTGCAGAAGCAAATACCGAAAATATGGATTGCGGAGACGACACTTTGATCTTATATAACGATGTAACCTTACCTGAGGACATCCTAAAGCTTATGGGAAAAGATGTAAATACAGACCAAAGCGCTGTTTTTTCCCTGCACGATCAACTTACTACGATCTGGCAAACTATTTTGACTAATGGCTTGAAAAAATCTGATGCTCAAACGCTTTTTAATGCATACCAAACATCAGAAAAACTATCATTCCTTCGACCTCCCGAATTGAATCCGGAAGTAAAGGCTGCCTCGTCAAAACAAAACATCTCTGTGGACGCATCTTATGTCGAGATGCAAAATCAACTAGGAAAAGGCCTAGCTGCACTAGGTAGATCAATTTCCACGATTCTCATTGATTTAGAACATATGCCAGATCAATTCAAGGGCGATTTCCTTACTAATCTATGTGATAGCGGACGAATTCTAACGAATCTCTTCCATCGCATGTCGGTTACACGAAAGAACCTTCTCGTTCCTGGTCTAAAAATATCTAAAGAACTGGCAGATGACTGCCTACCCGGAGAATTTCTTTTTGGTTCTAATTTAACTCAGAAATTAGACACAGCAAAATCTCTTCTAAATGTGAGTAAGGATCTGAAACTCCCGACTTATCAGAATAAAGTGGGCGCTTCTAAACCAGCACTCGCTCCCAGAAGGGCACAAAAAGGAGGAGGGGGACAAACCCGAGCTGTCTATACAGACACCTCAAGATCATCAGGGTCTTTAAACTCTCGCCCCCCGACTCACCGATTGGGGGCAGTGAGTCACGAGAGGGGCCCCTCATCCAGATTTCACAAAAACACCTATTGGAACAAACCACAAGAGAAGAGGAGACGACATTAGAATTGGTAAGCAACTATGCAGGTCGCTTGAATTCTTTTTATCAGAAATGGTTAACCCTTACTGACAATCGTATTGTTTTGGGTTGGATCTCAGGATATAAATTACCATTTGTTAAAACACCTATTCAGCCACAAATCCCAAATAACGCTAATCATTCATATGATGAAAACCAATTAATCGGTTCCGAAATTAGTAGGTTACTAAATTCTGGGGCTATAGAAAAGTGTCACGGTAATGTAACTGGGCAGTTTGTTTCTCCCATTTTTTAACCGACAAGCCTAACGGTGGAAAACGCTTTATTTTAAACTTAAAGCGATTAAACGAATTTATCTACGCTCCGCATTTTCAGCTAGAAGACGCCCGAACAGCAAGTAAGTTAGTGCATCGTGGCAACTATGGAGCCACGCTAGACTTGAAAGACGCCTATTATATGCTAGCCGTTCATCGTGACCACAGAAAATATTTACGATTTTCTTTCAAGGATGTTTCATATGAGTTTACTAATGAAACCAATCGTCAACCACGTGAGAGCCAGGGGCGTACCCTGCGTAATTTATCTGGATGACTTTTTGGTTTTGGGACCATTGACGAGTGTTCTAGAAACATTCGTTTGGTTGCTTCTCTTCTAATTTCTCTGGGATTTGTTGTCAATTGGCAAAAGAGTGTCCTCTCACCTTCTACGGAATTTTAATTTTTTGGGTTCGTTTTTAATTCTATCGAAGTGACCATAGAATTACCACCAATAAAACGTCAAAAATCTCAAATTGGATAACGTTTTTTTAAAAAACGCACTCTACTTGTAAAATTGTAAAGTTAGCCCAGTTTCTCGGGTTGCTTACATTCGCTTGTCCAGCAGTGAAGTACGGATGGTTGTATACCAAAATATTAGAAAAGGAAAAGTTCCTTGCTTTGTGCCAACACTCCCAAAATTACAATGCAACTATGTGCATTAACCAGACGATAATTGAAGAACTTTATTGGTGGGAACACCATATCAATACTGCTAAAAATGATCTTAAACGAGATCATTTTCACCGAGAGATCTATACAGATGCTGGTTTGTCAGGTTGGGGCGCCTTTTGCCAAGGCGAAAGTAGCTATGGTCGATGGACGGAACAAGAATCAAATATTCACATAAACATTTTGGCACTAAGAGCTATATACTTTGGCCTAAAATGTTTTGCCAGAGATTTATCAAATTGCAACGTTCTTATTCGAACGGACAATTCCACGGCACTAGCTTATGTCAATAAAATGGGCAGCGTGCAGCACCCGCAATTAAATGAATTGACAAGAACCATCTGGAAGTGGTGCGAATCAAAAAATTTATGGATATTTGCTTCCTACATTCCTTCATCAGAGAGCTGGCAAGCAGACCGTGCGTCTCGCGTTTTGCATACCGAGACAGAGTGGTATCTTAACCAACATGCCTTTGATGCAATAGCTCAAACTTTTGGGATCCCTGATATCGATTTGTTCGCGTCCGTAGCTAATCACAAATGTGATAGATACATGTCTTGGTTGAGAGATCCTAGCTCGGAAGAAATTGATGCTTTCACTGTCTCTTGGAAATACTTGAACTTTTACGCGTTCCCACCCTTTTCAATGGTTCTGAGAACCTTACAGAAAATTATCAGTGACGAAGCATCAGGTATCTTGGTGGTTCCTCTTTGGAAGAACCAGCCATGGTACCCATTATTTATACAATTAATTATAGGAAATCCAATCTACTTTGGACCCTCAAGTAATCTCCTGCTTTGCCCTTTCAGCCAAAAGAAACATCCATTATCGGAAAACTTTATCCTGGTGGCGACCAGATTGTCAGGCAAGCTTTTCAACGAAAAGGGATTCCTCCGGAGGCTGTAGACACCATGATGAACTCCTTGAGTGACAATACGATTTCTCAATACAACTGTAGCCTAAGACTTTGGTGGGAATTTTGTCAACTGAGGGACATATTCCCTTTTAAATACGACGTACCCAATATTATTTCATTCCTACAGCAGGTTATGAACACATCAAATAATACTTATAGTTCCTTCAATTCCCATAGGGCGGCTCTTTCCCTTATCACTTCTAGCGATTTAGGGACAAATACAGAGGTAAAACGATTTATGAAAGGAATTTTTCGAACTAGACCGCCTAGGCCTAGATATAATTTTACGTGGAATCCTCAAGATGTACTTAAGTTTTTAAATAAACCGCCCGATAAAGATCTAAGATCCGTATCCTGTAAATTAGTTGCTCTCTTAGTGTTAGCTACCGGACAGAGAATCCAGACTGTTGCTCTTATTAGATGTCCTAATATTAAATTTTCTACCTCAGGGGCAGACATCCAAATCCCCGATTTTGTGAAAACTTCAGGGCCTAAAACACTTCAACCTAAGTTGTCATTGCCATATTTTCATGAATGTCCTAACTTGTGTGTTGCTTCTTGCCTACATCAGTACCTGGAACTAACTAAACCACTCCGCCCTGCCGATTGTGATAAGCTATTTCTCACCTTCAATAAACCACATGGCCCAGCTACTAAGCAAACCTTGAGTCGCTGGGTAAAAAATACAATGGCAAAGGCAGGAATCGACACAAATATGTTCAAACCCCATTCCTCAAGGCACGCTTCCACTTCATGTGCGCTAAGACAAGGGGTGCATATAGATGCAATACGCAGATCAGCTGGTTGGAGCCAGGACTCTCAAACCTTTGCAAGGTTTTACAATAGACCTCTAGTAGAGAAAGACAATTATTTAACATCTGTCTTGAATCTATTATCATCAGAAACATAGAGGATATACTTACGGTTATTTGAATTTGTTTAACGTTTGTATCAACTTTTTCGTTTTTCTTAAAATAAAAGTTGCTTCCACCTGTCTTACTGCAACTTCCTTTAAACAGCTACACAATTATGTAATATTGAGGACTGGATCCCGAAATATAATTTATCGATCAAACGAACTTACCTGAAGTTCGATCGTAATTATATGAGGGTCCAGTCCGAAAATATTACAAACCCTACCCCTACCCGCCCCTGAGAGTTGCAGGTAATACATCTGGATACTTTGAAGAATGAAGCGAATAGGACGGTGCGCCACTAGATCATCAAGGTGAACGGCAGTCAGGACCGGACGGGCGCATTTTTCCTTTGCTTTGAACCTCGTGATAAAAAGTATGGAAAGCCACTACTACACAATTATGTAATATTTTCGGACTGGACCCTCATATAATTACGATCGAACTTCAGGTAAGTTCGTTTGATCGATAAATTAAGTAGTAACATTGATTAACTGAGATGCCTGTATAAGGACTGCACTATATCTACAAAACAACGGCATTGCAACAACGCTTATCACAGAAAAAAATCATGGATTTACTGTGCTGGCATTCAAACTCGTGAAGTAGTGAAAGGAGTGCACTGTGTGCGCTTATACAGGGTGTTGGATTTATGATATTCTCTGAGTGACGGTATCATAGGTCAAGAACGATGTTCAGTATTCACGATATGCAGATGTCAGTAAGTGCATATGTATATGCATTCTATGGAGTTCCCTCCTGCACTTAAAGGTTGAGGTTAATGATTAGAATTATATACAAGATTCTGTTTTAAATGGGTAATGTGTACCTACATTTGTAATAATATATATGAATTTTCAACGGATGCTTGTTGTTGGGTTCGGAAGATAATAATAATGGAGAGTGAAGAAGCGTTTACTGTTGATGTTTGTTAGGATTTATGATCTTAGTCTGCATTGTCCGCAGTGCTTTTGTTAAGCTATCACAAATCACACAAGTAATAATTACGCCAAGGAAAGTTGTGTTGTAGTATTTCTTTTTGTGCGGTTCACTGCTATGTCACGGTCACATAAAACGCCTCAAGGCCATTATGCTCCTCTCTATTCTCTAGGCGAACGTCCCAAGATCAGTGTTTACGGTGGTCCATACCATTAATAGTTACTGACCTTTAGGTTGCACTGTCAATGTATATCACATTCCACGGTAAATGCGTACTGATCACAGTAAATACTGATCAGCTTTCTGCAAACAGCCCTACCCCCCTGTTTCTGTGGTTACGTAGTGTATGTGTTACCTCTTGGGGAGATTTAACTATAAAACACTTATTCAATTTTATCCAGCACAAATTTTAATAAATAAGCCGGGACCATAATTTGCCCGAAACGGCGCTTACACTATAACTTGGCAACGTTTCAATAGAAACTCGCACTCTCGCTCGAAAAACTCTGTCCTAGTGAGGATAGTCTCTTGGAATACAAAAGTATGTGAAAAACGTAAGGCATTACAATAACATCCTAGCATAAATGCCCCTTAACATCTAGTCGATGGCAGAGATGATTCCGGAGATGAGAGAACCAGAAGTGACCCTCTCGTAAATGTACAGCCGTGTTCACAGGAAAGTAAAACTATTTGCTTAAAACATGATTTTCTCTAAATAGATTGTTTTGTTTTCATCTAAAATATAATTAAAAGCAAAACCATTGCATCTTCCCACTAGTGGTTGAGCCTGAAGCAACTTCCGTAAAAACTTATTGTAGTTCACGTTTGCACACAGATGCTGTTCAGAATCCGTCTTTAACAAAAATTTTAATTCTTATATTTCTTTATGCTCATTTACCATAGTGTATTATCCCAAAAACTTTAAAAGTTCCTCCAGTAACTCATGTTTCGTGATAGATGTGGAAGCGGGAACATTCTTATAGTTTTTGCTTCTAATACACGTTTATCTTGTGGCCAACTGTGATCCTTATCTTACAAGGGGAGGACACGACCTTGGGAATTTATTTTAAGCTCAGACTCCACGTAGTTATTGTACTCCTATAGGATATTCACCCCTTACAATAGCAACGCGCAACGCTCAATCAATTCGGAGAAAAACACATTAAAAAATTCAAGCTCTGCTTATACAGGGTGTTTCAGAACTATGGGATCAAACTTGTAGTGGTTATTCAGTGTAACAGTAGAAAACATTTTAGTTTAGAGAACCATATCCGGCGCTCGTATGTTGTTATCTTTAAAAACAGTTATTGTTTTTGTAGCTGCATTTCATATCGCCTTAGTCATGCTAGAGTATTTGTGAAGTTTGGAAGAATTTAACAAAAATTAATTGTTGCTAATGGAAACATGTAAAGTCTTTGGTTTACGAAACTCCAGTAGAAACAGAGCAAGTCTCAATTGGACGAATTACAGTAGCATTAGAAATCAGTCAAAACGACGTATCAAATTTTTAGTCAAGTCCTGCGAAGTCATGTGCGACGTTTGAATCGGTGTTTTTAGGTTGTAGAAAGACATTATGAACAATTGTTGTGATGGTATCATGTACAAGAGGCAAACATTAAATGCATTAAATCCTATTTAGACACATCGTCTTTCTAAGTTTTAACGCGTCTTAGGCCCATATCGTCAGTCGTCCCTACAATTGTAGGTCGCGTTTATGGCCTCCTTGATTGTCATACTCCTTTCTCTCCTTCAAAAATTTCTAGACTGCACCTGTCCCGTGTCAGCGTCAGCACTATCCTATTGTGAAGATATGTTTTCTTTTTATATTGTAGGGAATTTCAGGCTGATAAAACATGATATAACTCCGAAGCAAGCACAATTTGATGCAAATAACCTGAAATAGAGCGCTGGCATGGAGAAGTAGAAAACTATGACAATCAAGGAGGCCATAAAGCGCCCTACAATTGTAGTAGTACACTCAAATGTTTTCTACTGTTACACTGAATAACTCCTAGAAGTTTGATACCTTAGTTCTGAAATCCCCTGTATACCAGTAGCCGCGTCGGCGCTCGTGGTTGTAGTCGACGACTCGGCTTACTTTTTTTAATATAATAATTCGATTTGCTTGGTACCCTACTAAACTTTCTGAAGATAGAGCATTTTTTTAAATGTAAATGATCTTGGTTTTCAAACTAATCCTATAAAACACCATTGTTTTTACAAAATTCTGCATTAACTAGTTGTGCTAGTTGCATTTATGATAAAAAGTGTATATGAAACACAATAAAATGAATAGATTTCGTTAGTTATATTTTGATTATAGCATAATCAGATACTAGAATTAAGTTATGACTTAAGCTTACTAAGCTTTTTTCGTTAGCAATATAACATTGTTTTTATTCACATTATTACTGGTATTATTAACAGAAACAGTTTCTATGCAATTAGCAACTGTGTCAGTTTTCAAATACAGTTTTTATCACTCACTTTACCTTGTTTGTTATTGCATCTTATTTGTTTGTTATTTATTTATTTGTCTAGAATATATTGTATTTTTGTGGTGAGCTCGGACCAACAGCGCCCATGCTACATGTAAATACATTAGTTACCAAGTAGTCTATTTTGACAGTGACACTCGGAAATTCTGAGTAGTATAACAGCTGATTTGGATTTTTGAACATCTTTTTCTCTGAAGTAATTGAGAGTAGCCCGCAGGGTTGCGCGTTAACATTAGTACTATTACTATGCGAAGTCTTATTTAGGAAATGGAGATCTTTTACCTTGACTGTTATGTTAATCTGCCCATTCGATAAATAGAGATGCACTGTTTAAGCATTTTTCATATCAAATTGTTCTACTGGGCATGTTTGTGCATTTTTTTGTATCTTGTATTCTATTGTATACATTTCCTATTAGGTGTTTTGCAATAGATTGTGACGTCACAAGAGTTCCAAGTTTGTTTCTGCATCCTGCCTTCATAGCTCCCTCAAAACTAGTAGAAACGGGAACTGGGCAAAAAAATGAGAAAAAAAAATCGCTCAGCCACTGGCTTGTGACGTTTCGAATTTTCAGAAGATCTTTTGTATGGGTTGAAAATTCTGGAGTGTGGTTCGCAAGTGGTGAGAGAGGCCACGTCTCGAGTTTTTGGCGTAAATTATATTTTTATATGCTTCTAACCTTGGTAATTACATGAACTTATTCGACGTATTCCGCACATAGAGTTCCTCGTATACATGCCCCTAAAACAATAGAAACATCTTGGGTAATTGCGTCGAGCGCAACGAAATAGGATATACGACGTCAGTAAATTAAGTAATGAGACTGGCAACACTGGAGGCGCGAGGCTTGGAGGGGAGACAGGGGCATATGTGATCCGCTTTCGGGAATTGTGTTTTGTCAAGAGTTCAGGTTATTCGCTGGTTTAAGGCATTTTCAGAAGGAAGAGAGTTGATTGAAAATAAACACGAAGCGGAAGGCCTTCATTTTCAAGAACCGATAAAAACATCGACCGAATTCGGAGGTTAGTGGGATAGTCCTACCTACCTGGCTTGACCTACATAATCTTTTATGAGCTGTTGACATCGTTGAGTATGAAGTTCAGAGTTAACCAGTAGGTTATCTCTGAACGACGTCAAGTATGACGTCGCTTTTTGCGTGCATGCGGAAAACGCCAAAGTATGCATGTGCGATCACGAGGTTCTGTGATATCTATACAAATATTCATATAAATATTATTATTAAGTAGTAATTATCCATGCTAATTAAACAGATAAAAATATAATAGGCAGCAGAATTAGAAGTTGAAAAACCTTCTGAAAAATCTCCATATTACAGATATATCATATTCATACTTATGGGTGTCTACTTATTACTTGTAACTTTCACATAACGATAAGCTTATAATAGTATCTACAAGAAAATAATAATGTATGCACGTCTAGATCTAGAATATTGCCTCGCTATCAATCAGATTATTCACGACAGTTCCTCCACTGAAAAGCTTTACACTTGACTAGGCAAAATACGCCGCATTAAAATCGTCCCACTGAACTTCATGCTTCATTTTACCCGCAAATTTTTTGTATAACCGCCAAGGCTACTGCGACAGTAAAAAACGCGGTTTGCGGCAGGATATTAGAGTAAAAAGTACAAATACATACCGGACACATGAGTAAGTGGTGATTTGTATTTATTCAAATTGCGTTAATTAATTGTTACAGTTATTTGAAGGGTTCCCTTGTTATTGTTATTAATAATGGAAACATAACTATGATGACAACACAACACAGCTCAAGGACGGAAGGAAACGTGATTCATTTTAAGATTGTCTTCCAGTGAGACTCCCCCGTTGATCATTGCATTATTCAAGAAGATGCCCAACTACGTGCTGTATTTGGACGTTCACTCTCACTATCGATTGTCACAGTCATGTTGACAGGTAGCACCGTAGTAATTCACTTAGAAGTGATAAAAACGAATTGAAATAGATTACATGGAGCCAAACCTTATGCT